ACTGATAATAGGACATTTCCTGATGGAGCAGATGAACCCCACGTGAAGCAGAAGCCAACGAGATGGAGGCCAGAATGGAAGAAGATACGTCCTGTAAAATTAGGAGACTTTGTTGTATTTTAATTTTGTGTTTGTAAATTCTGTACATTTAATCAAGTTATTGTTAATTATCTATTGGGTTAATGTAAGTGGCTATTGTTTGGGACAAACAATACTAAGGAAGGGGGCAGTGTTACGACAGCAGAAGTCACATGATGCTGGTAACACATCACGAGTTTCTAGAAGGATCACGACTGTTCCTGGCAACTCTAGTGTTTGCCAGACGCCCTCTATTTTTGTAAATAAGTCCGGCAAATAACAGCAGATTGAAGAGAGATATAGAGACAGATAATTGAGTCAAATGAACAGTAGTCACAGTAAGTAAAGTGCGTGAATTGTTGTGAATTATAGCGTGTGTTTAAGTTAAAGTGACTGCGGAAATTCTGTGTATTGCAAAGTTGTGTTGAGAAAGAATAAACTAGTTTTATTTAAAGAAAGGACTTGTATCGCTGAAGTTCCTCAGGGAGAATTTATACCGGAAATTATCAAATGAGCAGATACGTAACAGTATTTTTTAACTCAAAATGTGCAAGTTTGGTTATTTTGACCAACATTATAATCATGAAATTTGTAAAACTTTTAGTAGACATTACAAGTATGTAGTACACAAAAATCAGATTTTTTAATAAAATATCTTTCCTAAAGATATATCTGTGAATTTATTAAGCTTTTACTGAGCAAGTATGAGAAAAAGGTGATTTTAATGCTAAGAATACAAATACTTCTTTTCATCTTACAGTTTCATATCTCATTTGCATAAATTCTAAAACCTCCTAAACTGATAAAGTTTTCATCTGTTTCACTTAATTTATTGTTTAATGCTGTTTGAATCATGTTTAAATAGTGCAACAGAGCAATGAATCACTCAGGCAAGAGCTTATGCAAGTTGTACAAGTTGTGGTAAAAAAATAGTTAGGATGTAAGAGCTACATGACATGGACAGCAGCTCACATGCATTTGTTGAGGAGGTATCTTTTCATTTACTTTTTATCTAATGCAACAAGTTTTTCATTTTTTACATTTTAGTTACTTTTTCTTAATATATATATATATAATAAATAAAAATCCACAAACTTTGCACCTTAGTCTTGAGACCACCCGCATTTGAGTATGTGATTTAAACATTTTTTTCACAGTATGTTAATTGTCCCAAATAATTAGTCTGTATTTCAAATATGCATTTTAGAACATAAAAAAATAATCAGACACCAGATTAGAAAGACTAAAAATTACAATAATTTATCTCACTTTTTAAAAGTGTATAAATAGGCTAAAAAAATGTCATTACTTCTTAGAGCAGCATCTTTAGTTCAAACACATCAAGCTTTCATTGCAAACTATTAATTTTTACTGCTAAAATAAAACAGTTGTCTGATCTACATAGTGCAGAATTTTCTCTTTCTATTTGTTACAAAAACTTTCAATAGCGGTGTCACAAAGAATTATAGACATTTCTTCAAAGATAGAAGATATGGGTGGGGGTGAGGTGTTAATGTTGGTTGAACAATAAGTGACATCTCAATAAAGCAAGAACATAAGAAGTTGAAATTTTATATTCTGGTTTGTCAATATTTATATGTTTCTGATTGGTTGAACAATTTAAAGTCCTTGTAAGGCAAGCCTCAACAAATCCCAGGTGACACGCGACTAAAACTTTCATCGTGGCATCTAATGTTTTCTCCCAATTTTATCTTGTTATAGGGCTGTGCTAAATAGAACTCGAACCTAGAACAGTTCTGGACTCTTTGAAGTTCAGAACTATTTTCACATTCTTTGAGTCCTATATCGAACTTTGTTTCTAGGATTTTAATGGCCAATTCTGCACTTCATGTCTTCTCAGAAATAAAGTGCTGCAGTTGCATAAAACATTACTAATTTCATGCCATTTTGTTTTTCTTCTTTCTCTCAATTCAACCAATCATTGTGTGTGTTTAGACTCAGACTGGAACAAAGGCAGTTAATTCAGGCAAAACTATCAAGTGGTTGTTGATATCATGTGATAGTTAGCATGCACTCATTAGTGAGAAAGTAAATAAACGTACACTGGTACCTCGATTTTCCAGGGAAATTTAAATAAAAATATTCAATACATTTGAGTTCCTTATTTTAAGTTATAATCTTTTTTATTTTCATTTAATCACATTATTATGAAAAATAATAAAAGTTGTCACAATCATAATTACAAAAACCAAGTGTCGGTCATTCAGTCAGTCATGCTTGATTTCTTCGAATTTTGTGAGTTACATGAGTCCAATTTCAATTTTTCTCCTATAATACTTCCTCTTTTGATTGCTCGTTCCCATTTTAGTAAAATTTAATTGTTAATATAGGTGTAAATAGCTCCTAAATTTCGGCACTTTTTCTGCATGTAAGTGCATTTGCACCCTATCAATACCTGTTAAAAGTAAAAAATAACAGAGCCTTTGTTAAAACAGACTGAGGATAGCAATTAGCTGTAGGGAAGAGGACAATGCATAACTGGGCAACACCCCAACATAACCTGAACATGCATCTGTGGTTAAAGGATGCCTGCTGTGCAGCACAGAACAGTGGAGGACAACTGAATTTGAGTGAAATCTTTAAGAAATCTTAATGTGTATTTTCAGTGTTTTAGTATACAATGTTTTTAATCACTAATCATATAAAATTAACCAAGCTACAAATATTTTATATTCCTGTCTCAACAACTCAAAATAAAAGAGGCAAGGCTAGGCTTGAACAGGCCAACTCACAATTTGAACACATGCCAGATCCTGCACACAAAAACCCCGAATATCATGCAACACCTGAACTTTTGCAACCAAAGTTAATTTCTGAGAGACAATTTCTCCAAAACATATAAATTATTGTCTAGAATTGTAATGGCAAAATTAGTTTGCAATTAGTTTGAAAAAATTTGGGGAAAATTAATTAATAAAATGCTTCATAATAGATTTCTTTGGAAGATTTTATATAAGAAGATAAAAAACAATCCAATTCAATTGAGAGTTGGTTGGACAGTAGAAAGCATAAGGTTGTTATAAATGGAGGTAAAGTCACAGTGGATTAACGTTCCATATGGAGTACCTCAGGGTTCTATGCTAGGTCCTCTATATAAATGGAAAACAGTTAACTGGTTAAGTTTGAATATTTTTTTTTAAATGGGTATTTCAAGCTGTTCTAAAGATTAAGTTTTACAGTGAGATTTGCACTATATGCTTTTTAATCTTGATAAAAGTTATACACTTTGGTTACTATAATGTAAATTTTTCTTATAGAGTTGCTGGGGAACTAGAGAAAAATGAAGGAAAAATATCTAAATGTGTAAAACCTTAGACAAACCATATATTATATTATATTTCACATAACAAGAGATAACAACATAAGCAAATGTTTTAGCATAAGGATATTACAATATGTTTGGTAAGTATTTTCTAATATTAGAAGATCAGGTAAAGATTTAATTTAAATACATAAAGTATGAATAGAGCTTTACTCAAACTATGCATGATTTAATTTTTAAATATTTGATCTGTTTTAACAACTGGAAGAAAGAAATCTTCAGTAAGGATTTCTGTAGAATTTACCACAAGTGACCTGTTAATTTTTTTTAATCTAAAATCTACTCTTTATACCTCAATAATGTTTCAAGTTATTTGCAATAAAAAAACAGTTTATTAATAAATGAAACTTCAATAGCTATGGTATGAAAGAACACGTGTTAAAAAGTTTGACAAGCTATGGGAAATCAATTATTTTAAGTTATCAAAACTTTGTACACTTCAAAAGTTTTAACAATTTTCTGCCTCAGTTAATGTTACTTCATTGTTAATAGCAAGCAAATACAGTTAAGCAATAGTAAGGTGTATGTAAAAGCTAAAAGAATCCAGTATTTGAGAACAATTTAGTGATTTAGAACAAAAATTACTTATACACTAAAGTTCTAGACCTATAAGCATATAATTTACTTAAACCTTTATAATAATTCCATAATATTGCAGAAAGAAGTTTTGCAATGCAAACAAGTTGGTGTCAAAAATGAAAGTGTCTTAGTGAGTTAAAAATAATTTTCAAAGTAAGCATTCTAAAATTGTAACTACAATTTTTTTAGGATAGCATCTCATTGCAGTTAAAAAAGACCCAAGTGGATTGACAATGGGAGAGCTTGTAATAACATTAACTAATCCATAAAATGATAGCGCAATCCAAAAAATATTTTTTACAAAGAAAATCAACAAAATCAAAACAATCTAAAACAAATCTACCAAAGGAAAATTTTAAATATTCTATAAAATTGTGAGTTTATCATAAAGAGAATTGTAAATCGCATTTCACATAAGCTATTTCATTGTATTATTAGTGAGTATTAAAATGATACAGGCTAACAGCTAGATCATTCACAAACCTCTGTTACACTTTAAAAGTCAAATGAAAACAAATCATACAACCCTCTAACTAGAACTTAAAAAAAAAAAAGTTAAAAGAATATGATATACATGTTATAGCTTTAAATGATTTCTTAACAATTGTATGTATAATTGTTTTCTCTCTACACTTTGTAGATGACAAATTAACCTAAGTGAATATTTGTTGAAAAAAAGTATTGCAAGTCACTAAAATCTTTTCTTTTTACAGTAAATTTTATGAATTTAGATCAAAATAATTCTCATTATTGAAAAATAACTATTTCATTTTTACTTAATTCACTCCCTACTAATATTGAATCTTCAGAAAGTTCAAATAATTCGAAAAAATATTTCAATTATCATTTACACAAAAAATAGTAACAAATAACAAAGGTTAACAATATGGTATTTTAATAATCATATAAAGGAATCCTAAAGAAAATTCTATATTCTGAAACAACAAAAGAAAGGAAATCACATTTACAAATAAATCCAATGCTATGCACAAATACATACAAACAGCCTAAATTCCAAAATATTTTTATAACTTACTGATGATTTTCCACATCCCCGAGGACCAATAATAAGCAATGAATTGCTTTCACCCAAAGTAACTGTTCTCCATAATAAATCTTCAAGATGCCTAAAAACATATCAAATCCAACTAATAGTTAGCTAGCATTTATTAAGAAGCAAAAATTTAATAAAGATTAAAAACAAATCAATTACTAATTGCTAAATTACAACCTGTCCATCAAATCATCAAAGTGGCAAGATAATTTAATGTTGATTTATCCAAGTGCAAACATGCTATTGCCACCTTAAGGTACAATATCATTAAATATTTGTTTCCAACATGGTATGCTTTACAGTTCTATTATTATACATGTAGTATATAAAGAATAGTTCTTGACAAATTGTTTAAAGATTTACCAAAACATGAAATTTTGTGAGGTGTTTTAAATTTTAAAAAGCAAATGTTTCTCTGTTCAAAGATATCTTGTAAAAGATTTACTGTTGTTGGGCTGATTCTTGTTCATTTTTCAGAAAAATATAATGCAAAGTCCAGTTCAATTAATGGAAAAACAAATGTTTTATTTCTTTGAATACAAGATCTACAATTCCTTAGATTCACAAATTAATGACATTACTTCACAAATAACTTGCTAATCTTCTCACATGTTTATTTCTTCTTTGAAACAAAAATTGAAATAGCAAATAAACTAACATATTTGTCAACTCATTAATAAATCAATCACCTTAACAAACTCACTAGTCAAACGGCAACTAACTCTAACCAAACTAGCATTTTATATCACCCAAATCATATCTTAAAATTTCAAGAAAATTCTAATCACTAAACTATGTTCTCATCATGGCAAACAATAATACAAATTTAAAAATTTAGAAAAGTATATAACTGTATGCTGACCATTTATTTAACATGAAGCTGGTGCATTAGTGGTGGACATAAGAAAAAAAAGACTGGATAACAGAAAGACATAACATTTATAAGGTTTCATGGCACCCCCCCCCCTCATAGTCCTTTTTTGGTAATGATCTACAATATACATTGTTGCCTTAGAAGTGTAGTAAATGTTGATATAATAAGCCTAATGTAAAGACATAGTTTGGGATCACATAGCCTAGAGCCAAATGCATAAAATTTATCATGAAAGTAAAAATAGATTCAATTTTAAATTTAAATAATTTCTGAATTAAGCTATTTTCTATAAATTAGAAGCTGTTAATCCAACTGATTTTTACCACTAATTATTCTATGAATACACCAATAATGGGATGTTATGCTGTCTGGAATGCTTTCACACTCCTTTTTTTGGGAATGCTCAACAATATATATATATATATATATCGTCACTTAGCAACAAAACTATTACGAGATGTTATAGTGTGTTTTAACTATCGTGGTATGTTATACGGTGGTTTTTAACTATTATGGGAAGTTATATTGTCCAGAATACTTCCACGCTCCCTTTTTGGTAATGATCTATAATATACATTGTCACCTTAGAGGTGTAGTGAATGTTGGTATAATAAGCTCAAGTAAAGAGCAGAATGGATTAACCTAGCCTAGAGCCAATTGCATAAAAATTATCATGAAAGTAAAAATATCAATTTAATTTTAAACTACCCAAATCTTATGAATGAGTGTGATAGTGATGACTGAAATCAAGATGGAACCAGAACAGTTAACAACTGGTGTCACTTATTATAATATAAAATAAAAATTAATAGAAAAGCAGGACTTATGCTCTTTAGACACTTTATATAAATAACTCAATAAGTGCTCTCTTCATTAAAAAAATTACAATAGATTTTTACACACAGTTCATATTTCCCACCTTCTAATAAGAACTTTTCACATAGATTTCAGCAATTGAGTCTAAATCAAAGTTGTGGTTTGAAATGAAGGCTGGAAGAATCGCTGCTTCACAGTTCAAGGCTGCTGCCAGGACAGATCCAGGCAATCCATGAAAATCTCTTATCAGGCAGGTATGCTACCCTGACATGTGCAAGTTTTCAACACAAGCAACAAGATCTGATAAAAATACATTTTAAAGTAACAATTCTCCTATTTTTTTTGGCAAACATAATCATATCAGCATAATATTTTAAATTTTGTAATGGTACATGATGACATGTGATAGGTGTATCATTGGTCATTCTGAAGGTAAATGTCACCATGGCATAGCATCTAACAGTAAAGTGTGGATTAATTAATAGGAGCTTTGGTTCTATTAGAATGTATGGGATTTGTGACATTATTCTCTTAGTACTTGGTGTTACAAGATCAAACTTAAGTTATCATATGCAATTTTTCTCCTTACATTGGGTCCATTATAACCATTTTATATGACCATAGAAGAATAGTATATTGAAGCTAGAAGAAGGTTGATATTTTCTTAATGATAAATTTTCTGAACTATGTTTTGGTAGACATCATATTAATATCGTATAAAAATGATATTTCATCACAATATTATTATAATATATGGTAAATTTTTTAATAAAGTCATATTGTAAATCTGCAGCTGCTTTTAACCATAGGAATGAAGGGCTAAGTTTCTTGCTGTTATGTACCATATTAACAAGGTCTAAATATATCTCATAATAAATTTTACAGATGAATAAATTTGTATGACAAATATGACCCTAGATGGGTTAAAGTGTCATTCACCTCATCTATCCTGTCCTTATGTCTCATTGACTTAGATGGGGATGTGAACATGAGGAGCTGGCAAACCAGACCTATGTAATTCTTTCACAAGCCCAGCATCAGGACTTTCAGGTGGAATATTGAAATCTTCATATTAACCCTGAACACCCATTCCTAGGAGTATCTTCAGATAGGCTTGTGTCCTGTTCTTGTTGTGGTGAAGGCTTACTTGAAATCAAGTGTTCGTATTGTGCAAGGGAAGCTGCCCAGAATAAGCAGTTTTGCTTGCAAATTGTTGATGGTATAATGAAATTAAACAAAGACCATGCTTACACATACCGGGTCCAAGTTCAGCTGTGCCACAGGTAAAATGTACTGTGATATTGTAATTTGGACCAATAAATCTGATTTTTTTTGTCCGGAGGATATTGCCTGATCATGAAATGTTTGAAAATGCTCTGGAAAATGTAAAGATTTTCTTCAAACTTGGTGTGTTACCAGAGTTATTGTGTAAGAAATTCACAGTTATGGATGTCCAGCAAGAGCTCATTCCTACTCCTAGCACTAGTCAAACTAAACCTACATGGTGTTACTCCCGGGCTGCTGAGCAAGCACCTGACATGCTTGGATGTCAGTATGACATATATAAAATTAAATGTTTTTATTTGAAGTGTCTTGGCTTGAAAAACAAACCTAAATGAAAATGGTTATGCTCAGATTGTAGAATAATTGAAGCTGGAAAGAAAAATATTTTTAAGGTAAATATCACATATAACCCCACTTGCAATAATTTACACTATTCTTATCTGTTAGAAACAAATTTCTTTAACATAATACAGGAGACAAGAATATGGACACCATTTTTAAAAATAAATTTATTTAAACATTATCCATATAAGAACATTAAATCAGGAATGTAATTTTAATGTCATTGTTATATAACCTCATAAACCATGTTAGACTTAGTCGTACATTTTCGTAAAATACATATCCACCACTATTCTAGTGATAGAAAGGTATGAATTGTAAAATGAACAGATTAATATTATTAAAATTGCAGACATGTATATTATAGCCATGACAATACATTTAATCCTGTACTACCTTAATGTCCCAACTTGTCAAAGTTACTGAATGATTCAGCAACTTTGTTAGATATTATATACACATGGACTTGTAGATCTCCGATTCTTATGATACTCTAGATGTGAAATATTTTAATAAATATTCCTATTAAAAGCTATAGATGTTATATGTTTGTTCCATGTGTTACACTGCAACAAGACAATATCATTAAAAAGGCACAACTGAGTGAACCAAGTTGGTTAAGGCACATACTACACAAGCAATTTTATCAAGAGTGGTGTAATTTGTATCCTCATCATTTTGAAATAACATAATTGGTACAGTTCCATGTAACATTGTATACTTTTGTCTAGCAACACCAATTAAAGTTCCATGTGATTAGGAACAGCAGCAAGTTCTCTGGTGTCTTCTAGTTCTATTGCACCCAACTGTTTCTTGCCTATTGTGAATGCGGGTATCTCCATTTTTACACAATAAAGACCGACTTGATCCTGTATTGTAAAACCACGGTCAGCAAGAATGAGGTCATCTGGGACTAATTAATCTAAAATCCACTATTAGCTATTATGTGTTGATTTGTTGTTCTGCCACCCAAACCTTTTAAAATGAATGAAATGGCTCCATGAGTTATTATACCAATTAAATATTTCATGGTGTTGTGAGATTTGTACTGTGAATAGGTCTGTTCCTTTGCTTTGAAATCTTTAGGTTTCTCAATAAAAATCTCAAAATAGTCAATTATGCTGACACATTTGGGAAAATGTTTGAAAAACACATAGGTAAAGAGGTACTGATATCCTCTCTTTCTAGCCAGACAACAAAAGAAGGTACCAAGCGTTCATTAAGAATATCAACCTAAAAATTGAACAGTTAAATTCAGTCTGAGTCATACACATACCAACATAAATTGCTGAACTGCTCCCAAGCTTAAAGTATTCTTTAAGCACCCTCAAATTGCATTAAAACTTCCCATCATTGATTGAAAGTTGTGCAAACCAGTAAAAGACTTAACTTTCTCATCATTTCCATGCAATGCATCCTATTTCATGTCAAGTGGATCAAACCTTTTCTTGGGCTTGATGTTTTCATTGCGAAGGCACTGACACTTATCTTTAGCAAAGCAATGCCATTAACAGTCATGTCTGTTTGACATGAGCCAAAATTTCTTCTGTTTCTTGGCTTTTAGCTGAATGCTGTCAGTCAGCATGCTGCTCTTCACCAGTGGCAAGTTGATTTTCTTCAATATATGCATATTCTACAATGCTTGAAACACCAACAAGGGTCTTTGCTGCCTCTTGTCTGTTGTCCTCTTCCTTACATCATTGCCTGGCATATATGAAATTTGGCCATATTCTTTGCTTCTCATGTCTTCTGGGGTG